AAACAACATTTTGAAATTTAATTTTTAATCTGCTAACCAGAATGCTTTGAAATGTTGCAGATGTTTTAAGGCTATAAAGAGCATTACAAATCTTTAGTCAAAAAATATTTGCTTATCCCCTCCAAAAACTTGATGACGTCAGCTCAAAAGTTTGTGAAATAAATCATATCTAAAATGTACATAATATGATGAGCCTGTACTTGTCATTTATCACTCCATTCATATTTTTTGGAGATGCATATACACAGTGACTCAAAAAAATTAATGAATGCGTAAATATATTTTATTGATTTAATCAGGAACTACAAAACGGAATGCTCTGACATCTTGCAGATGTTTTAAGGTTATAAAGAGCATAATAAATGTTTAGTCAAAATATATTTGCTTATCCCCTCCAAAAACTTGATGACGTCAGCTCGAAAATTTGCCGAATAAATCATATCAAAAATGTACAAAATATGATCAGTCTGTACTTGTGATCTATCACTCCATTCATATTTTTTGGATTTGCATATACAGGGTAATTCAAGAAAATAAATGAAAGCGTAAATTTATTTTACTGATTTACTCAGGAACTACAAAACCGCATGCTTCGAAATCTTGAAGATATTTAAAAATTATCATAAGCATGGTAAATTTTTGATCAAAACGTATTTGGTCGTCCCCCCTAAAAAATTTATGATGTCACCACAAAATTTTGCTGAAAAAATCCTATCTAAAATGTACAAAATATGGTGAGTCTCTTCTTGTGATTTATCATTCCATTCAAATTTTTTCGATTTGCATATACAGGGTGACTCAAAAAAATTAATGAATGCGTAAATTTATTTTATTGATTTAATCAGGAACTACAAAACCGAATGCTTTGAAATCGTGCAGATGTTTTAAGGTTATAAAGAGCATAATAAATTTTTAGTCAAAATATATTTGATTATCTTCTACAAAAAACTGATGACGTCAGCTCAAAAGTTTGCCGAATAAATCGTATCTAAAATGTACAAAATATGATGAGTCTGTACTTGTGATTTATCATTCCAATCATATTTTTGGATTTGCATATGCAGGGTGACTCAAAAAAATTAATGAAGGCGTGAATTTATTTTATCGATTTAATCAGGAATTAGAAAACCGAATGCTTTGAAATCTTGGGAATATTTTAAAGTTATTATAAGCATGGTAAACTTTTGTTCAAAATGTATTTGTTCATCCCTCCTAAAAAAATTGATGACGTCACCCTTAAATTTTGCTGAATAAATCCTATCTAAAATGCAAAAAATATGATGAGTTTGTACTTGTGATTTATCATTCCATTCATATTTTTTAGATTTTCTTAAGAGGTGGTTCAAAAAAATTAATGAAGTCAATTTATTTTATTGATTAAATTAAAGGCAACACTTATTATTAGTATTACACCCCAACCAACCCAATTTGGTAGACACAAAATTTGTTAATGGAAAAACTCGGTTGAAACATAAGGGTAGTATTTACATCGACTTTAACATTACAGACCTGCATTTGTTTTATGCGCTCACTTGGTTCCGCGAATGTGAAATAGACATGTTTATAATCAACCAATTGTGAATTTCACCGTCAAGAATTAAAATAAAACCCAATGTTTTATATAATAAGCGGAAGTCGAAGCAATAAAACCGATGGTCGTTTTGTTTACAGTTTCTTTGTTTGACTTTCACGTATGGTGTTACGCCTGTCATCTTAAATTAAGAATGTTTATACATACACGATTTTCAGTTGCCTCTGATACGTATACGTGAGTAAATTGTTTCGTTATTTTATTGATTATTACAAATCAATATTCAAAACGACCCAATTCATTTTCCCGAAAATTTGAGAATATAATAATTTTATTCTTAGTATTACACTACATCTATCCCAACTGATATACGTGTCCTTGCAAAAATGTTGATGACGTCATCGCAATTTTTTTTTAAATTCCCACTACAAAAATGTAATGAGAAAAAAAACACAATAGGCATGCAGTCGTCAAGTTTCCGACAGCGAGGGAAGTACTGTCTAAACTCTTTAGACCAATTTTTTTTTATATTTTAATTTTCGAGTCTCCAGAAAATAACACCGTCCGATAAATGTGTGAGTATACTTTAAACGGACACAGATACCTAGCTGAAAATAAATCGCTAGGCCCAAAAAATAATAGGAAATCGAATGGTAGAAACCAGAATGTCTTGTCTTGGTCTGTTCAAAAGTTATGGACCGTCAAACTCACGATTTGGTTTTTTGGGTATTGGTTAAATAAGGATTTCGCTTAAAATAGAAAAAAATTCCACAACCGACGTCAAAGACGCACACAAAAAAAATTAGTCGGTAAATTTAATTTCAGGCAGATCGAAACATGTTTACGTCTAGAACAATTTTTCCGGAGCTGTTTTCGGTCAAAAATTTGGAATTTAGGCCACATTAAGCTATCTTGGTTAAACGTACCTCAGTTTGTCCAAAAATTACTCCTTTCCCTAATTCGAGCCTCCTGATTAGGAATTTGGGCCCAAAAAAGTATTTAACAGCTCTTAATTTTTTTTATTTTCGAATCTCCTATAAATGTGTGCGTATATCTAAAATGGATACAACCTATAACTGAAAATATACTCTTATTCTCAGAAAACTACACGAAATCGAATAGTAAAAACCGGAATACGTCCCCTGTGTCCGTTAAAAAGTTTTGAACGGTCAAATTCACAATTTGATTTTTTAAGTTTTGATTAAAGAAGGATTTCGATTAAAATAGTGACAATTTTCAACAACCGATGACAAAGACGTAATCAGCTAGGAAAAATTAGTCTAGAAACTTAGTTTCAGGCAGATTGAAACATATTTATTTTTTGAGCAATTTCTCGGAGCTCTTTTCAGTCAAAATTTTCGAATTTGGGCTGTTTATATCAAGCCATCTCGACTAAACGTACTTTGATTTGTCTGAAAATTACTTCCTTCCCTAATTCGGCGCTCCTGGATAAGAATCTGTGGTCAAAAAATTTGTAGAAAAGTTCGAGATTTTTTTTTCATTTTTAATATTCGACCCTCCCGAAAATGACACGGTGCGATAACTATCGTAAATATTCTAAACGGACATAGAGACCTAGCTGAAAATATACCCTTATGCCCAAAAAACTATTGGAAATCGAAAGCTAAAAATCGAAATTCGCTCTCGTTGTCCGTTCAAAAATTATAGATCGTCAAACCCCGAACTGGGTTTTTTAACTTTTGGCTAAAGAAGGATTTCGTGAAAATCGCTGCCAAAAATGGATTCAGCTGGCCAAAATTAATCTAAAAATTTTGAATTTCAAGCAGATTGCAACATGTTTATTTTCTGAATAATTTTTCGGAGCTGTTTTTGGTCAAAATTTTAGAACTTAGGCCATATCAAACTACGTCGGTTAAACGCACCTCTATTTGCCTGAAAATTACTGCTTTCCCTAATACCATCCTCCTGAATAAGAATCTAGGGCCAAAAAAATTTTAGGAGAGCTCTAAAAAATTTTTAAATTTGTGAATATTTGAGTCTCCCGAAAAGTGACACCATAGCATAGACACCTAGTTGAAATATACCTCCATGTGCAGGAAAATATAGGAAATCGAATGGTAAAAACCGGAATACGCTGTCTTTGTCTGTTCAAAAGTTATAGACCGTCAAACTTCAGTTTCGTTTTTTGAGTTTTGTTTAAAGAGGGATTTCGTTTAAAGTAGCAATAATTTTCAAAAACCGATGTCAAAAATGCGTTCAGCACGGCAAAATTAGTCTAGAAACTTAATTTCAGGCAGATTCAAACATGTTTTTTCAAACAATTTTTCCGGAATTCTTTACGGTCAAAATTTTCCGATTTAAGCGATATCTAGGTTAAACGTATCTCAATTTGTTTGAAAATTACTCCTTTCCATAATAAGAAAAATAGAAATGGCTTTCAATAATAATATATAATTTGTAATCCAGTTATACTTTTTTTAACAAAATTAATATCAGCAAAAAACTTCGGCGGATTTTAGGCTGCAACTTCACTACGATCAAGTGAAAGTAGGTTATTTTCAACAAGACGTGGCTACAGCGCATTCGACTAGGACCACAATAGCAATGTTCTGAAAATTTTTTGACAACCGGATCATTAGTTTAGATAGTCTGCAGGTGGTCCTAACCTCACCGGACAGTTGCTCGCAAACTACCTGAAGGATGAGGGATAATTGCGTGCAACGGTCAGAAAAAATTAATACCATAAACAATTGTTGCTTGTGTTAGTCATATTAAACAAATAAGTACTGGGAGAAATAATTTAACTTTTACACAGCTGCACACGTATTTATTAATCGTCAAATGTGTATATAGAGCTGAACACTTAACAGAAACATTTTTTACAAAAGCAGACCTTTTAATCTTCTTATCCCTATACAACTAGACTTAGTATGAAACTTATGAAACTATAAGGAGGCTTTTTTTATTAGCTACGTACCTATAGGCAAAGAGAACTATTATAATCCCCTGTTTGCGCAAGTGTCCTATGACCATTTGGGGGATTAGACCTATCACATGGGGTAAATTAACCTCGGCGCGCAAGTGACCAACACCCAGAAAATATCTGATCACGGACATTTCATGATCTTACTCCTGCGTTTATTTATTTAATAAAACGAATTAATCTTATACCAATTTTCGTTGTAACTTCGCACCGATTTTATTAAAAGCTTTATGCTAAATGCTAAATCCTCTCCAAGGATCAATCCATTACTATTCATGTTGATACTCATATTATCGTAGCGTGTTCTACCGTTTAAAAGCAAAAAAAAAGTTTTAATTGTTCTCAACCAGTTGACATGATAATGTTCTTTAGAGAAACAATAGCCCAAAGCTCGGTTTGAATTAATTACCAGGCTGAACTTTATTTTCCGAATTTTCAATAAAAAAATTCCCTCAAGCTTCTCCAACTATGCCCACATTTGCTTCCTCACATTATTGACCACTAAAAACTGGCATTTGATTTCAGAAATCCAAGCAATAGTTAGAAGAAAATACAACATAAGCGACGAAGATTTTAGGATAATGGAAACAGTCGTCCTGAAATCTGAGCCGCACAGAGCCGGCCAACAATGGAAATTCACTGGAGCCTTCTACTACGCGACTACAGTATTAACGACGATAGGTTACGGCCACTCCACCCCCAGCACCATCGCGGGGAAGCTGTTCACCATGTGCTACGCTATGATAGGAATACCCCTAGGTCTCGTCATGTTCCAGAGCATAGGCGAGAGGGTCAACAGGTTAAGCAGGTAGGTTGTATTCCTGAGCGAGCTAACTCCAAAATTACCCATGTGAACATGGTTTCTCGGGGTTGAGGCGGTAAACAACTACACTGTTTACTGCGCGCTAAATGCGGACACCTAATGAAAACATAAGGGACTCCCTGAGGAGGACGATTTATGACTTTTTAATATTCTGGTCGAAGCTGAAGTCGTTTACTTGAATTTTATTGGGAAGTTCGGGAGGTTTATTTCAATTTGTTTTATTTGGGCAAAACACATCAAAATAAAGGAGGTTTTTACTTTGGTGTAGAGAGTGAAGGTGGTTCTCACAATCTACATTGACACTTTTTATTGTTAGAATAACGTAAATATTACAACGTGTGTGTAAAGGAGTGGGTGTGGGAGAAAACATTTTTTGCAGTTTGCAGGTCACCATGTCGGGATATTCGCTGTTATAATTTATATTTATTTTAGGGTTATAAAAATATTTGATTTATTAAATTGAATTTCTGTTTATAATGTCTCTAAACACTATTTTTTCTACATCCGTTTACATTATTAACAAATTTGAATTTTATGTAAATCAAGTGTACTATATTATTGGAAAATATTACTTTTCCATGTCAATAAATAAACAGCCGGACCAACTTTTTCATAACTCTTTTCGTTGTACAATGCATACAATTTTTGAAGCTTAAAATAATTTTAATGTTTATAAAGTACCAGTGGTGAAAATGTTACTGCCTCATGAACTTAAAATCGCTGAAAAATGTATCGATTCAAAGTGTTCATTATTGATACTAACAAATAAATGCCGTTCCATTTGAGCACCGGTATCTTTTTCAACTGAATAAATCACGAATAATCGTTTTACGAATTTTGAATGAGAGTAATTTTTTAATTGACGAGAACAAAATCATTTAAAAACTTGTGTAAAGAGTTATTTGATGCATGTTAGAGCACATCTTCATTTCAAAAAAATTTCGTTAGAAACATCGAGACCAATTTTTTCATAACAGTTTTTGTTTTATAGTAATATAATCTATAATTTTTCAAACTTAAATTACTTTTAATGTTTATAATATAGTAATGTTACTGCATCCTAGAACTTGAAGTCCCCTGAACTGTTATTGATGCAACACGTTCATTATCGACACGAAGTAAATAGCGCGTCCTTTGAACACCTATATTGATTTTAATTAAATGGAAGCACATAGACACCTGTCGCCAGTTTACGCTAATGCAAGTACCTAAAACTAAAGTACTTTATTACACTATATACAATACTTTACCTAAAACTGAACGTCAGTTGATAATTAAGATATGTATCGGGCGTTCAATTGAAAAAGTCATCAAGTTGGCCTTGATTTTTGTAAACATTGTGAAACATGTGTACGACATACTTAAAATTCAATAGATGGCAGCTGAGAACGCGGAATACAACATAACCTCACTTTTTCGTATAATAAAATTAACGCTTTTCAACGACGCTAACAAATCACAATTATAATCATCAGTATGGATTCATAAAACACATGCGTTTTTCATTACGTTTTTTCCATCAAAAAACAACGTCAACTGATGACTTTAAATTGAACACCCGTTATCTACTATACATTTTTTTTAACAAATTATACCTACACGAACAGTAATAAATTCAGACGAAAATGTGCGTTTTTTTAAATAATATTAGCCATTTTATCCAAGAATTTAAAATAAGAATTAACCACATGCAGAGGAGTATGCACGCTGCATATTTCAAGTGAGATTTTCTTAACAAAATCTAAGACAACGTCATAAATTTTTGGAAGGAGACTGATTTCTTCATAATTCTACCATGTCTCAATTTGCTCCTTCCATAAAACATGTTATGGAATTTTCAGCAAGGAAGATTTTTTCTTTTCGAGGTCCATCGGGGGACTTGCTACTTTTATGTTTTCTCGACGATTCATGACCCGTAGCGTAAAATACTCCTGTTTCCGTCTGTCTGTTTTTTGTATCAATTTTTATTAGTCAAATGATCTCTGAAACTATTAGACCGATTGTTATCAAATTTTGTATATATTTTAGGAATGTCATGTATATGGTAAAACGCCAACCCAAATTTGGCTAATCATCCCCACCAAGAATTTGATGGCGTCATCTCAAAAGATTCTACATTAAAATGATGTAAAACTTATACAATAATATACTCCTACACTTATGGTGCACGAATCCACTTCGAGTTTTTCCCCTAGACACCTAAATTTTTTACAGTAATTTTGCACCAGCTTATGTGTATTTAAAATATATAATAACAATAAAATAAGATTTATTTCACTATATATAGCATGTGGAATGTGGATTCGTATATATTATACGATGACATGATAAAAAAATTCAGCAGCAACACAACCATTCTCATTTTTTTTTTTTTTTTTGTTACAGCAGTGAATTATTTTTAATAACATAAACACATGCTCGCTGCGCTCGCATTCTAAACGTTCTATTTTTGCAGTTTAGTCTCGTAAAAATGATCAAGAAAGAATGCGAGCGCAGCGAGCATGTTCCGGTTGCTGGGGTCTCTCAGACTTTAGTATCCACAAACATTTTCAAGCTTGACTTTTTTAGACAATAAAAAATGCTCTTGTTAATAATAATTTAGCTTCCCCAGAGACACCGATGAATATTTTTGAGTAACACCTAAATGTGCTCGCTGCACTCGCACTCTGAATGTTCTTTTTACTTCCCGAGCGTAAGCAAAGGAAATATTGTAATCGAGTCCGTCGGCCGACTCTCTACTTTTGCATTTTCTCAACCTATTCCTTAGAGGACGAAGAAATAGGTCTCCCGTTTCCGTCTGTCCGTCCGTCCGTCCGTCTGTCCGTCCGTCCGTCTGTCCGTCTGTCCGTCCGTCCGTCTGTCCGTCTGTCCGTCCGTCCGTCTGTCCGTCCGTCCGTCTGTCCGTCTGTCCGTCTGTCCGTCTGTCCGTGTATCCGTCTGTCTGCCGTCCCGGATTTTTATTAGACAGATAATCTCCGAATGTACTGGGCCGATTGTTGTCAAACTTTGTATTTATATTAGGTATATCATGTATATGGTAAAACGATAACCAAAATTTGTCTAATCATCCCCACCACTAATGTGATGACGTCACTTCAAAATTGTACCTAGTAATTGGGTTTTAAATTGTATCAAATAACATAGTCTTCCACATGTAGTTTAGGACTCCGAATTGAGATTTTACCCGAAACGTCCAGATTTTTGGAAAAAAAATCAAAATTAGGAAACAACATTTTGACATTTAATTTGGAATCTACAGAACCGAATGCTTTGAAATCTTGCAGATGGTTTACAGTTATAATAAGCATGCTAGAATTTTGATCACAATATAATTACTTATCCCCTCCAAAAAATTGATGACGTCAGCACAAAAGTTTGCCAAATAAATCTTATCTAAAATGTGCAAAATATCATGAGTCTGTTCTTGTAATTTATTTGCATATACAGGGTGACTCAAAAAAATTAATGAATGCGTCAATGTATTCTATTGATTAAATCAGAAACTACAAAACCAAATGCTTTGTAATCTTGGAGATATTTTAAAGTTATCATAAGCATAGTAAATTTTTTATCAAAATGGATTTGCTCATTCCCCCTAAAAAGTTGATGACGTCACCCCAAAATTTTGCTGAATAAACCCTATCTAAAATGTAGAAAATATGATGAGTCTGTACTTGTGATTTATCATTCCATTCATATTTTTTGAATTCGCATATACAGAGTGACTCATAAAAATTAATGAATGCGTGAATTTATTTTATTGATTTAATCAGGAACTACAAAACCGAATGCTTTGAAATCTTGGAGATGTTTTAAAGTTATAATAGCCATATTAAACTTTTTGGTCAAAATGTATTTGCTCATCCCCCCTAAAAAATTGATGACGTCACCTCAAAATTTTGATGAATAAATCCTGTATTAAATGTGCAAAATATGATGAGTCTGTAGTTGTGATTTATCATTCCATTCATTTTTTTTGGATTTGCATATACAGGGTGACTCAAAAAAATTAATGGATGCGTGAATTTATTCTATTGATTCAATCAGGAACTACAAAACCGAATGCTTTGAAATCTTTTAGATCTTTTAAAATTATCATGGGCATATTAAATTTTTAGTCAAAATATATTTGCTCATCCCCCCCTAAAAATTTATGACGTCATCTCAAAATTTTTCTGAATAAATCCTATATTAGATGTGCAAAATCTGATGAGTCTGTAGTTGTAATTTATCATACCATTCATATTTTTTGGATTTGCATATACAGGGTGATTCAAAAAAATTAATGGATGCGTGAATTTATTCTATTGATTTAATCAGGAACTACAAAACCGAATGGTTTGAAGTCTCGGAGATGTTTTAAAGTTATCATAGTCATGGTAAATTTTTAGTCAAAATGTATTTGTTCCTCCCCCCCCTAAAAAATTGATGACGTCACTTCAAAATTTTGCTGAATAAATGCTATCTTAAATGTGCAACAAAAAAACATAATAATCATGCAGTCGTCACGTTTCGAACACCGAGGGAAGTACAGTCTAAACTCTTTAGACCAATTTTTTTAATTAATTTAGTGAAAAAAAAATTTAAGAATCGGTCAGCAAGGCTGCTTGCTTTTCACTAGAATAGTTCTCTAGATCTCCCTATGAAGGTAGTAAATTACTTTGAAAAAAGCCACCCCTAAATTGCGAGTGTAGTGAGCACACTCAAGATAATGCATACATTATTGATCACAAAGAATAACTATATTTTTAATAACAAAATTGTTCTTAATAATTTAACTTCTCAGGTATATATTTTTTTTAATTTCACCTAAACGTGCTCCCTGCGCTCGCAATTTAAACTTCTTTTTTTAGCTTTTTTCTCATTAAAGTGTGCAATAAAGAGTCTCAGCGAAGTTGTTTGGATTCTATTTAGGAATAAATCTCTAAATTAAAAAAAAAACGCATCCGTAAAATATGAGCGCAGCGAGCACGTTTAGATTGATAGAGTCTCCCCAATTTTAGCAGATAATCACAAACAATTTTACAATTCACCGCTTTAAAACACCAAAAAATTGTCGTATTACTTATCCAGCTTCTCGGGAACTTTGACAAGTAATTTTTAGTAACATTAAACGTGCTCTCTGTGCTCGCATTCTTAGTATATATAATGTTTACGAATGAATCGTGAATTTATTTTATTATAATAATGCTATAAAGTTTTAATTATTTAATAGAATTTTTTTATATAAATTGTTTAAAAAATTAACGAATCAGTTAACTTTATTGATTAATTTTTGATAACAATGTTCATCAAAGAAATGTGATCTGGTTAAACCTGACCTACCATGACCTGACAAGTATAGGTCACTAGTTCAAGTTCTTTAGACCGAAGTTTTGTTATTAAAAAATCTCTGTTACCGTATTCCAACAATTTCCAAATATATTTAATGGTAACCTGCCAACCAAAAAACACCTCTAGTAACTTCAATCCTCAAATGTTTTTCAACGTATGGCGTAGCTAACATGGTACATCGCATATCTGTTAGTTTCGGACTATCCGCGTTTTCAGTCTAACTCCAAATTATTGTTACGTTAGCTACGACATATGTGCAGAAAACATTTGAGCATGCACAGGTATTTTTTATCGCTCGTTATATCACACAACGAGTTGTAAAATGCATATTACGCATGAATGGAAAAAGTTGCGCACCTTTTCTTTTCCTCCTTTTGAAACTCTTTGATTATGTTTTATTCCTCTGCTACTAACAGCGTTGCAATTTTCTAGTAAATTTGCCTGTCAATGTGGTCAATTCCACTACCAATATAACTTGAATAAATCGAAAAATCTCTAACTGTGCAATCGGCTTCCCTCACCCACCATATAATCCAAAAAAAGCCATCTAGTGGGTGATGAAATTTATTTTTAAAATAATAATGTTGGCATTCCAGCTTTTTAAGAGTTTCTTTGACAGTTACATATAAGTGACCGCAACTGTCAAACCTCATAAAGAGTGCCAATATCATTATTTTAAAAATAAATTTCATGGCCTACGGGAGGACTTTCTTTCGATCATGTATCACATATTTTTAAACACTATTTACACTTGGAAAATGATTTTAAATTTACAGTTATACTCTACATCTGATGTGCATGTAAATATAAAAAAAAAAGATGTTTTTAGTTATTGTGGTCCCGGCGCCTCCACCAAAATTGTGTTTCCATTTCAGTGTCATAATTCGGTCCGTGAAGTCTTCCTTGCACTGCCGGCAAACCGCAGCATCAGAACTGGACCTCATCTGCGTAGTGACGACGCTGAGTTCGTTGACCATAGCTGGTGGTGCTGCCGCCTTCTCGCGTTACGAAGGCTGGAGCTATTTCGACTCCGTTTATTATTGCTTCATCACACTCACTACTATAGGATTCGGTGACATGGTAAGTCCATTAAATTACTTGTCCCTTCTGCTCTAACACTTCGCAAAAAACTTGATGCGACTCCTGTATTGCCTAACTTAGATCGTATGAAATCGATCACGGTGACGTTGTTGCGAACGATAAATTTAGAGAAGAGAGCTTTCAAAGGATTTAGGTTGAGCCATTTTTGATCGGAGTAATAATTGAGAAAAAATTCCGAAATATATGGAAGGCGGATTTTTCGGATTCCTGCACTAACTGTTTTCTATTTTTATAAAACGTGCGTTCTGATGTGCGTGACACAAATTTGAGTATAATATTTTTGTTTTTTGAAAATTGAAACTATATTTTTTTTTATATATTATACTGTATACATAAGTGCTCTCTTGCAAGTATTTGCTGTTCATGGTTAGAGTGGGCCTAGTTAGGTAATTTTGAAGTTTTAACCTCTCTACTAATACAAAGTGTGTAATTTACAGATATTAGAAACAGGATTGTTAGTACAATAATCACCTCCTAATGGTAACGTATTGGTAATATTATTCTAGTTTTTTCTAAAATTGAACTTTGCACTAAAAATTAGGTGTATGTTTATATTTAGACTGTAAAAAATTAAGCATGTTATAAAAAAGATTTTTTTGATGAAAAACCAAAAATACACTTAAAATTTAATTTAACTTAAATATTACTACTATCAATTGGAATTCGAATGCGGTAACTGGTCACAAAATTTATTGCATTAACAGATGAACAAGATTTAGAAAAACATTTGCTGCTGCAAAGAAATGAATTACACTGAACATTTTCGACGAAGGTTCAATTAACTTTAACGACCCATTAAAAATTGCGATGAAGAATAAAACACAAAAGAATTACTGACCCAAATCTTTTCCTTAGAGAACTACCTTCATTTTGAAGGAATCATTTTGGAGTGCAATCTGTTTTTACCATTTATTACTTCCTGCAGTTTTATAACCACTGTTAACTCTCCTTTGTCTCTTTCGGATAAATATTTGCTTTAAAGAACGTTATTTTTGTATCCACTAAAATTTTATTGCTCTTGAAAAATTAAAACGGTAATAACTGTGTAAGCATATCCTAAATGACAATGTACTAGTAGCAGGTAGAATCCCATTCGGGAACATACTGTCTTTCTTTATAACAGAATTTGTTTGTTTGAAATAAATCTAAAAATGATTTAAACAATAGTTACAACGTATTTAATTAATATTAGTTCAAATACGAGGAGGGTGTAAATGCAGCAGTCACAATGGGGAACATATTACTCGTGTCCTAAAAGTTCCGATTTTACGTACAGCTGAATTATTAAAATTTCATTACAACACGGTTAAAAAACGAGCCACCGAAAACATTTTTTTTTTAAGTAAACGACCACATCAGGGGCTTCCCCCAAGCAAGATATTTTGTTCCGCAATGTATTTTAAAGGAAGTTTGTGAAAATGGAATTGAAGTGCTCTATAAAATGAGTCACTTTATGTAGGTACAAAGAAAAATCACTTATTTATGTGATGCTTACACTGCTAGTTTAGTATATGATGTTATTAAATAAATTATGCATTTTAGAGCAATATTTCATAATACGGGATTTCTACTCAGAAAGCAGAACCGGCATCGATTTATTATAGAGTCCAAAAGAATTTTTCATCTAAGAATAGTTCTCTCAACTTTTTGAATATTAACAATTTAGATGAACCATAGTTTTTTTGGAAGAAACGTAACCCGATGTTAAAACAAAAATGACTAGTGGTGGCTCATCCAAATAAATTTTTAAGATTCCCCCATCTCGTAATGCTGATTATCATTAACACGGGAAAGGCAACACTCGAGAAATAATATGAAACTTAGCTTTTCCTACTTTGATTGATTTTTTTTAATTGCAAAACAAGGCAGCAAAATCAAAAATTATTGCAAACTATCTCGGCCGATAATTAAAAAAACCTGTACAGGCCAAAAATTAGGGCCTTCATACGATTTCCAAATACGTAGATTATCTTCCTAGCATCTGAATAGAAATGGTCTCAAAATAAGATTAAGAAACTACAACAACCACCTCATTTTAACTACACGTTAAAAATAATTCTAGTGGGTACAAAAATAACGTTCTGAGTGTATTTGAGTTAGAAAAAGAGATATACAGGTAGAGCAAAAATATCAAATAAGCGAAATTTTGCAACTATCCGAAATTTTGTTATTCTCGGGCAGAAAAGACTAGACGTAAAAAATGACCTTTAAATCGCTTTATTTAGTATTTTTTATTAAAAAATATATTAATTCCGTGAATTCCAACTTTTATAACCTCAGTCTTACAGTGTTGACAACTTTCATATAAAATCCTACTTTTTCTCGAAAAAAGAGGTACTAAATATGTTTTACTTCCCGAGCATAAGTTGAGGAAGTATTGTAATAGGATCCATCCGGCAAATTTCTACATTCACATTTTCTCGACGTTTTATGATCCCTAGAATACGAAAAAATAAGTCTCCCGTTTTCATCCCTTTGTCGTCTGTCTGTCTGTATTCTGTGTTGAGTTTTTCCCCTAGGACCATTCGATCTTTAACATGGTCCTTTTTTTCTCTTCCACCATGACTAGTATTATCTATATTGTTTTTACTCTATAGTGGTTATCACAACAAGAATTCATAAAATTAAATCTTACTCTTATAATTTTTCAAAGAAACAGGATTTGTTCTTCAGAGGCCAGGAAAGTTCTGTCTAAATAACCTTAAACCAATTTTTTTTTGTTTATCATTTTGCTTAAACATAAACAAATGACATAAATGCCATTACAGGAGGAAATTTCGATGTCTTCTTAAACTATAACAACAATGAAATCACTATCAACTTCACATTATGCTAAGAACTGATTACATCCCTGCCATTTGGACATAATCTTTTCTTTAATACAGACTAACGGGTGAGGAACATAATTCGTGATCGTACTTTACTGTGTTTCAGAAAACGTATGTCGGTACTTTCGAAACTCTTAACCTATTTCACTTTAGCTGTCAAAAATTTGAATTCAAAAGTCAAAACTTTGATAACTCATGATATTTTACACAATCGTATAGATCTAATACTCAAAATTTTGTTCTCATATAACCGAGAAAAAAATGTCGTCTAGCAAACCATTGAGATTTAGTTTTAACAAAATGTACACCAAATGCTCGATTTGACAGTTACAGTCAAACACATTTGCACATAGTAGGGAACCGGAGACATCATCTCTTGTAAGAAAGATTGAAACACTATTGGCGTTAGAGTAAGACTAGACGTGACGTGTGTTTAATTTTTATTTTTTTATTTTAACCTGTTAAAGTATTATATTTATAAAATGCCGCAAATACAGTAAAAATATTTAAGACAAAATTTCCTTGTATTCATGGTTGCGTATCTCAAAATTTAGTATTTCATATTACCCGCTAGTTGGATGACGTCACAGTAAGGCTAGCTGTCTTTAAAAGGGCGATCTACGGGAGTGGACATACGCAAACCTTACTAATACATGACTTTGTTGTTAAATAAATTGCCAACATTATTATCTTAAAAATAAATTTCTTGGCATATGATACCAGATAATCCGGGAAAAAAAATATTTTAAAAACAAATTTCATGGCTTACTAGAAGACTTATTTTTCAATTCAAATTCTTGTTTTACGAAGAGCTAGAGACCGTAGTTGATCTTTTGTTAATAGTACCAGACTAACTTTAATTATAATTATATTACATATATTAAACTCACTATTTTTAAATTATAGTATATATTTTTTAAAATATTGTTTAACAACGGAGCCGAATTGATGATAACATTTTTTTTTACAGTAGTATAATTGAAACGTACAAAAGCTGTTAAATAAGTAATTTTTTGATCAAATTATTTGTAAAAACGGTAATAAAATACACGGTTTAGTCGAAGAGAATTTAGAAGTTTGGAATGATCTGTATAAATTTATATATACAGCGTGTTATTGAAAGGTACGTACAAAATAAAATCGGCAATTGGTCTTGAAGTATGGGTGCTAAAAGTAAAAAAAAGTTCAGGTAAAAGTGTTCTCTTTTCAGAGATAAAAATTATTAAAATTTATGTCCAAATTCGCCTCTGATAAAAAATCATCTTTCGTTTCTATAGCAAGTCTTGACAAAAGTTTTATTGTTACATTATATAGGATTTAGTAAAATAAATTAATTTTACCTATTTATCCTTCAGTAGCGTCTAAAAAGGTTGGATAAGGGTTAATTTTCCCCTTATAATTTTGATAACAAAAAATAAGTTTTTCACACTTCTTAGGCTTCGCGAATAACTGTCAATTTTGTTGTACGCACCTTTTAAGAACACCCTGTATAAAAAGCAGTGAACCTGACCTGGCCTGACCTGACCTGACCTATCAACGTCTAGCCCAAATTGCTAATGATAGAAATTTGAAATTTGGAGAAGATATTAATTTTATACTGGAGGCATCGTTTAAGACGGGATTTCTCGAAATTCATCCACTCAGCGGGTGAAAAGGGGTGGTAAAATTTGTATAGTACCAATATTGTTAATGTAAATTTAAATTTTTACGTGAAACTTGGTATCAATGCTCGCTCTTCACACAAATAATGAAAAAAGTATTTCAGCATTTTTCGAGATTCAACCCCTAAGGGGATGAAAAGGAGTGTGTATGGGAAAAAATATTTGGATGGTAATGTTTACTTAAAACCTAGTATTAATCCTCTTCAACACAAATAATGAAATACGTATTTAAGCATTTTCGGAGATTCAACCCTTAAGGGGGTGAAAAGTGTTGGTTAAGTTTCTATGATAAAAATATTCTATTGTAAATTTTTGACGTGGTATTTAGTATTAATGCCTAGACAAACACGTATTTAAGCGTTTTCCGAGGTTCAAAGGGGTGGAAAGTGGTGGCGAAGTTTCTATAGGAAAAATATTTTTACTGTAAATCTTTACGTAGAACTTGGTATTAATACTCTTCAACACAAATAATGAAACAAGTATTTCGGTT